CTCTACTGTTGTACATTTTTATATGATTTTGAATTTTATTGAGCATGTTGCTGCTGATGCATGAAGCTTTTTTAGACAATAGCAAAAAAACCCACACAGAAAACAAATAGGGTCATAATAGCAACTTCTAGAGCCACAGGGTGAATTAGAGGCCAGATTTGCACAAATTAGAACATTTTACAATCAATTTAGAGAGCAGAACATTGGTCCCAGAAACATGTGCAGATATGAAGGGTCTGCTTTATTGGACCACATTTGAATGAGTTAGCCTTACAGCAGGAGCGGATAACAGATCACTTGAACTTTGAAACTATATTTAACCCTGGAGATTATGATTCATACAGTTTAGTTTGGGGAGTAGTATTGGTTTACTGGTAGGTAAACCATGGAGTGGAACTCTATAAAAACTTTCATTTTAGTTTAGGGTTAGGGATAAGGTTCTGTTACTGCATTTGGCCTTGTAGGGAAATTTCCACAAATGCAAGCTAAAGAGAGTCCCCAGTGGGGACAAATACAATAATAAAAGCCTACAGCCTATAAAATAATAAAAGCAATAAAACCTGGAAGCTGATTGGTTTCTATGCAGAAGTGAGCCTGATTTTGCACTGTCCAGCTTTAGTAAATAAACCCCACTGTGTCAATGAGACAAAAAGTAAGGGTACATCTCTTCAATGAGGCCACAGTGAGCAGCAAACATTAACAGACTTTTACCCACCTTTCTTGACTTTATTCGAACGTAGAAAAAAAATATGTGAACATGAACCCATTACAAAGCATATAAAAGAACAATAAGCACATCAACATTTTTTTGTCTTGCCATTCATGCTTTCACCTGTATATCCAGCTGATATTATCAGTTATTGTTGGAGACTAAAATACTATGTGTGACAATATTTTTGTTTGAGTGGGTATTTAGCCTGCTTTTATATAAAGCATTCACATGATCAATTTTATTCAAGTTAGCTTACATTCTTTCAACCCTAGTGACACACTCTTGGCAGCCTATTCTACAGCTGTAATTTCTCACTGCTGTAGCCAGAACCTAATTGTATGTTTTCCTGTCTGGGAACCTTAAAGGAAAATAAAGAGATACAAGATAGCATAATTTGTGCATTAAAATTGTTCTGCACTTAGTATACCCTACTAGAAATGATTTAATGAGCAATTTTCAGCAAGAAAGTACTAATGTCTATTCTCTTTATGGTGCTTATATGTAAACTCACCAAAGATGGGTAATGAACACTGTGGAATATTGCACTTTGAACCTGCTAAATTTGAAACAGTATACTCAGATAAAGAATTATTTACTTGAAAAAGAAATTGAGCAAATTATCAACGTCAGAAGGTAAGGCTATAATTTGTTTTTCAAACTCTTTACAGGAAAAAGCCATAGGCGTTGATTTACTAAAGGAAAATAGACTGTGCAGTTTGCAAGTGCAGTTGCACTCTGCAAGGGAATTTACTCCAGAGCTTAGTAAATGACAGGAAGCTCTGCTGATTTCCAACAGCCAACCACATGATAGCAAAAATGCAGTTTTTTTTTTTTCTTTTCCTTGTATGTGATTGTGTATTCTTTGCAAAGTGAAGCTTCGTCTCACTTACTAATCTCTGGAGCAAATCCCTTACTGAGTGCACAGTCTATTTGCCTTTAGTAAATTAACCCCACAATCTCTAAGGCAGGCAATTCTTAATGATAGATATAAAGGGGATGTGGCGATCTACAGTAATTTTGTGTTATTTATTTTTTTATTGTAATACAACTTAAAAAAAGGTCCTTGATGTTCTTTACATGCCTTAAAGTAATTATAAAGCCTTATTATTTTTAATAACAAACATGTCTATACTTACCTGCTGTGTGCAATGGTTTTACACAGAGCAGCCTGGATCCTCCTCTTCTTGGGTGCCCCCACAGCAACAGCTTGCTATGGGGGCACTGCTGCTTCGTGTGTCCATTCACATCCCCATCCCTTTTCTCATTGGCTCACTGGCTGTGATTGCCAATGGCTCCAGTCTCAGCCAATGTGAAAAGGAAGTCCTGGGATAGCCGAGACTTCAGTGCACATCGCTGGATCGAGGGGGGGCTTAGGTGAATATTGGGGGAGGCTGGGGGGGATGCTGAACAGAGAGGGTTTCTTACCTTGCTGCACCATGCATAGAATCCATGAAGGTAAATAACCTTGAGCCTTTACAACCACTTTAATTATGGATACAGTTTCTGTTCATTTGTTCAAGGAGAAATCCTGCAGGTTCTAGATTTGTGGTCTCTGTAAATTTGTGCAAATTTGCCCAGAAGAATTTTTTTTCAAACAATGAAGAACAGCATGATCTTTGTTTTATGACCAGCAGGATTAGAAGAACCGAGAAGGGAGCTTTTAGATAAGTGAGAGAGTGGAGAGAAAAGAGATAAGTAGAGTGGACAGCGCTGAAAGAATTTTTTATATAGGGAAAGCTGACAAACTTCAAAGAGAGAGATTAGGGACATTTAAAAAAAACCTGTACTTTAATTATGATTGCTAGGAATTTGGGCAATAAACACATTTTCAGAATTTTTGTTATTATTTGTCTTTAATTGTATTTTTTGTTTGTTTGATTTGAGGTTAGCAGTCACTTTCAGCTGCTGTCACATCTACAGCAAACTTTTTTCCTGGGGGGGATATTTTATGGGTTTACTTGATTTGATTTTATGTTGGTTGGGCCTGAAATGTATGTCAGTCTGCAATGGTCTCTATCCCCATAGCTAAAATAAGAGTTAGGCATCTACTGGTAGGCCTGTTATATCAGAATAAAGTTGTTCTATTGCTGACCAAATTTGCTGTATTTTATGCAGTATCTGAATTCTTGTAGCAGGAGCCATATGCTGTGCTCATTGACTCTAGTAAGTTTAGGCCTAACCTTGCTATTTTGAATTTCCAGCTGCTCGCCAATTATACATTACTGTGTAATATTCAGTCTCTTAATTCATGTAGTAAAACACCTTGCTGTACCCCTTTACTCTAATGCATTTCAGCCAATTCTGCCTCAATAAAATGTCCTGCTGCTGTCTTACTTTATACTGCTGGATCAATTGCATGTTCTTAATTCTTAATGAGTGCTAGACATGCGCGGTTCGCTTCGTTCCTAATCAAAATTTGGATGAAATTTTAATTATTCAGAGATTTGGATGTACCCAAATTTCCAAATTACATTAGTAATACATTTAAACGAATCTGAAATAATGAAACAAAAAATTGTCCAAAATTTGAATCGATTTCTAATCGAATTGGATTAGAAAATAAAATCGAATTCGAAAAACACATTTGAACTGTAAACATATTGCTGACTATTGCTTATTTCCTTCAGATTATGTGTATTGGTGTTAGAATATAGCTGTCTTCCAAAATTCAAATTTTGAAAAGAATAAAATAGAATAGAAAAGAATAGAGCAAAACAGAATTAAATAGAATAGAAAAGAAAATAAAAAGAATAGCATAAATAAAAAAGAATAGAATAGAATTGAATAGAATATAAAAGAATAGAAGAGAACAGATTAAAATAGAAAGAATAGAATAAAATAGAATGAATATACACTCACTAGCCACTTGAATAGGTACATCTTGCTAGTGCCAAGAAAATATCCCCCACACCATTACACCACCACCACCAGCCTGAACCGTTGATACAAGGCAGGATGGATCCATGCTTTCATGTTGTTTACACCAAATTCTGACCCTATCATCTGAATGTTGCAGCAACCAGTCTGCCCAATCTCCTCTGACATAATCAAGGCATTTTTGTCCACACAACTACTGCTCACTGGATAGTATCTCTTTTTGGGACCATTCTCTGTAAACCCTAGAGATGAGTGTGCGTGAAAATCCCAGTAGATCAGCAATTTTTGAAATACTCAGACCAGCCTGTCTGGCACCAACAACCATGCCATGTTCAAAGTCACTTAAATCCCCTTTCTTTCTCATTCTGATGCTTGGTTTGAACTTCAGCAAGTCGTCTTCACCACGTCTACATGCTTAAATGCATTGAGTTGCTACCATCTGATTAGCAATTTGTGTTACCAAGCAATTAAACAGGTGTACCTAATAAAGTGGCCGGTGAGTGCAGTCGTCTTCTGAAATTCTAATTTTGAAAAGAATAGGATAAAATAAAACTAATTAAAAGAATAGAGTAAAACAGAACAGAATAGAAAATAAAATAAAAGAATAGAATAGAAAATAAAGAAATAGACCTAAAAATAAAAAAATAGAAAATAATAGAATAAAATAGAAAAAAATAAAATAGATTAGAATACAATAGAACCAGCTATTCTTCACAATGAATTCGGATCGATTTGATATATTCAAATCAAATTCGATTTGAATAATTCAAATCCATTGAATCCAGTCAAAAATGAATAAATGAAATGAAACAAAGCTAAACTAAATTAATTTTGTTATTAAGGCAACAAAACCTCATTAGTAACTTAATGAATCGATCCAAAAAAAAAAAAAATTTTTTTCTTCGACACAAAATAGTCAGCGGCAGGAAAATTTACATCAGTCATAAAAAGAGACAGCCTCAGCAAACTACTAACCAATTTATATCTGCCGGTCAAAGCGAGCCTTTTACTGTTTCATGAAAAAGCATGCGCCACTGCTAAAGCAACTTGAAAAAACACTTTTCAAACTAAAATGAATCAGATCATGGTGCTGCTGCTGTAATCTAAGCTAACTGTAAAGGAAATAAATTCCAATGGCAAATGTGCTCTGCTAGTGTGCACTGTTGCTGTGACTGTCCTTGAAAATTGTACAGTTCTGTAACTCAGCATCAGGGGCGGACTGACCATTTGGAAACTCGGGCACTGCCCGAGGGCCCGGGGTCAGTAGGGGTCCCCATGAGATGCCCCTGGTACCTTTTTCATAGGCTTTTTTGAGTTTGGGCAAGGACACAGGGGCCCCATGATCCCCTATTGCCCGGGGGCCCCATGAGTTGTCAGTCCTCCCCTGCTCAGGATACAGCTTGTTAACCACTTCAATACAGGACACATTCCTGCCCAGACCAATTTTCAGATTTCACTGCTGTCACAGTTTCAATGACAATTACTCAGTCATGCACCACTGCACCCAAATTAAATTTGTATAATTTTTTCAGACTTTCTTTTGGTGGTACTTAGACCTGACTGGGTTTTTATTTGTTCTATATAAATGAAAAAATATTGAAATTAAAAAAAACCCAGATTTTTCTATTATGAAATTTTGCAAATAAGTAATCTTTCTCCATACATTTAGGCCAAATTTTAATCTTCTAAATTTCTCTGGTAGAAATAACTAAATAAGTGTATTTTATTTGGTCTGGGTAAGTCTACAAGACACAGTACATACAGTATGTTTGGAAATTGATCAATCCTATTATACTGCCTGCCTATCTCATATCTTGAGGCCCTAAAATGTCAGGATACTACAATACCCTCCAAATGACTCCTTTTTGGAAAGCAGATTCCTCAGGTTATTTATTAGGGGGCATGGTGAACTTTTTGAAAATTTTCCCACAGTTCTTTGGAAAATGTAGAAATTGAATAAAAAAATTTTTTTTTCACAAAAATGCCGTTTTAACAAGATATTTCTCACACACAGCATAGGTATACTTACAATTTCACCCCAAAACATATTCTGCTACTCCTCCTGAGTATGGCATTTTACTGGTTTGTATTTTGAATCCGAATCACACAGTGAGAGCTCCCCACTTTTCTCATCTATTATGCTGAGTAGAGATGAGCGAAGTATTCAAAAATTCGATTCGGCTGATTCGGCGAATTCGAGGAATAAATTCGATTCGAGGTGAATATATTGAGGCCATACAGCACCCTATGACAAAATGGAACGCACAGCAGTGTGTGAGGAGACCTGAAAGTGGCACATGGCAGAGTCGTGTGGCGATGGAGACTCAGCAATGGGAGGCCGTACAGGGACCCATGAGACACTCTGGACCCTGGCAGCAGATGAGGAGGCCGTACAGGGGCCCATGACAGATTACGGGCCTGGCTAGCAGCAATGGGAGGGCCCGTAATCTGCCAGCACCCTATGACAAAATGGAACCCACCAGCAGTGGTGAGGAGACCTGAAAGTGGCACATGGCAGAGTTGTGGCGATGGAGACAGCAGCAATGGGGAGGCCGTACAGGGACCCATGACAGATTACGGGCCTGGCAGCAGCATGAGGAGGCGGGTTACAGGGGCCCATGGCAGATTACGGGCCTGGCAGCAGCAATGGGAGGCCCGTAATCTGCCAGCACCCTATGACAAAATGGAAACCCACCAGCAGTGTGAGGAGACCTGAAAGTGGCACATGGCAGAGTGTGGCGATGGAGACAGCAGCAATGGGAGGCCGTACAGGGACCCATGACACACTCTGGACCTGGCAGCAGGCAAGAGGAGGCGGTACAGGGGCCCATGGCAGAGTGGCGAAGCGTAAGCAGCTTAAATTGAAGGCCATACAGAGGCCTATGTTAAAAATAATAGCATGTTTGGGGCATGATTCATGGCGGATTTAGTCAGTTGTGTCAGGAACTGGTGGTTTGAAATCCAGACTAATCCACGCCTCTGAGTTCATTTTCACAAACGTGAGTCTCTCCACACTTTGGGTGGACAGTCGTGTCCTCCGCGGAGTTACAATACCTCCTGCCGCACTAAACACGCGCTCCACGATGCCACGCTACTGGCCGGGCATGACAGCCTTTCAAGGGCAAATTCAGCTAGTTGGGGCCAAAGGTCAAGTTTCGTTGCCCAGTAATCAAGGGGATTGTCTACCTCGGGTTGGCAGGGTGCCTGTCCAAGTAGGCCCAAGCCTGTTGTTTGAAGTCCTGCTCCAGGTCCACCTGATGCTGCTGCTGCTGCGGCTTGGTTACTAGTTTCCTCACTGCGCTGGTGAAGAAAGCTACTCATCATCGACTGCAGACTGAGGCAGCCGCTGCTGGTGGAGCTGCCACTGCTCCTACCACCCCACACCCTCCCCTGCTGCCATGGCAGCTGAACGCGAGCGCACAGGGCCCACAGTGTCTGAGGATGGACGTTGGCGCAGAAAGGCAGAGACCAAAAGCTGACTACCATAGGTGGTTTTTATAGTACGTTATTTTGGCCTCCCTCTCAGCAGGTGTGAAAAAAGGCCACCATTTTTGAACGGTAGCGAGGGTCCAACAAGGTGGACAGCCAAAAGTCATCTCTCTGTCTGATGGTTATTATTCGGCTGTCGCTACGCAAGCAATCCGAGCATGCTATGGGCCATTTGTGCCAAGGAATGCGAGGGACTCCCTGCCTCCATCTCCACAGCATATCTGCCCATGGTGCGTCTGGGTCCTCTGTCTCCTCCTCCTCCTCTACCAGATGCTCCTGCTCCTCCAACTCCTGTCCGCTGAGAGGAAAAACCACCCATTTCACTCAATAATTCCTGAGCAACCAATGTCTCCTCTACCTCTCCTCTTCTTCCTGTCCTGCCCCCACTGGGGTCATGTGGCGTTGGAGATCTGTGTGCCACGTCTACTACCGCACCCTGACCAGCCATTGTTAAACAGCATTTGTTCCAGGTCGTGCAACAGAGGAATGACGTCGTTCATCCCATAGTCCTGCCGACTCATGAATAGCGTGGCCTCCTCAAAGGGCCTGAGCAAGCGGCAGGTGTCACGCATGAGCTGCCAATGGCTGACATCTAAGTTACACAGGGGAGTACCTTTATCCGCTTGTAACATCAGGAAATCGGTGATGGCCTTTCGCTGTTCGTAAAGGCGGGTCTAACATATGTAGGGTTGAATTCCACCTTGTTGCAACGTCGCAGATCAGGCGATGCTGTGGAATTCCGTTCTGCTGCCTGCTGCAGCTCAAGGAGGGTGTGCTTTGCGGTGTAGGAATGGCTGAAATGCATGCAAAGTTTAGTGACATTTTAAGGATGTCTTGCAGTGGGATGGTGGATTTTAGGAACCGCTTGACAACCAGATTGAACACGTGAGCCATGCATGGCACAACCTTCCTTGACGCAGAGCAGACAACCATGTTCTTTCCGTTGTCGGTCAACATGGTTCCGATTTTCAGTTTGTTGCGCGGAGGACAGCCATCTGTCGATATCTCTGTTCATTAACACTCAGAAGTTCCTCCCCTGTGTGACTACGTTCGCCAAGGACATACCAGGTGCAGCACAGCGTTGACACCTGTTGCGCCCTGCACATGTGATATGGCCGGTCGGGTAATGGGACTTTGGCACGGGGGGTGGCGGTCTGAGTACACGGCGGAAGAAGAGGTGGTAGAGGCGGACATCTTTGCTGGACCAAAAAGGACGTTGCAAAACGTGGAGGCAAAAGCGGCGTGACCTGTCCAAGTTGCTGGTGCGGCTGTTGCCGGCACCACGTTCACCAGTGGGCCGTAAATGACAATGTACTGTCCCTGACCGTAGTTACAGCTCCACACGTCGGCGCTGCCGTGCACTTTGGCAGAGACCGACATGCTCAAAGACTGGCCACCATCTCTTCTACATGTGAATGCAGGGCTGGCACACTGCCTTTTTGGCGAAGAAAATGCCGGCTTGGCACTCTCCACCGCGGCTCGGCACAAGCCATCATTTCTCGGAAAGGTGCTGAGTCCACCACTTGGAAAGAGGAGGGACTGCAAGCACCAGCAACTTGGACAGGAGGACGTTCAGCTTCTGCACCGTTGGGTGCGTGCTCGCAAACTGTTGTCTCTTGGAAACGGATTCCAAGAAAGACTGCTGACAGAATCCGTGAAGAGGAGTAGCAGGAGAAGAGCATCTGAACGAGCGGAAGATGCCAACGAGCGGGACAACTCCCCTCAGCAGAGGTGTTGGAGCCTTGACTGGCTGATAGAGGGCAATTGATCGTCGGGTGACGGAGCAAGTAACGGAGCGGGTGATGGAGCGGGGGCTGGGGCAGGCAGAAAACCGCCGTATCTTTATCACGGTTTTCCCAGGCCACCGAATGGCGACCGCTGCATATGCTGACGCAACGCTGTAGTCCCAACATGGGCCCCCTGGCCACGCTTGACTTTCTGGCCACAATAGTCGACATACGGCTACGGTTTACTTCCTCGGGCGGGCTTTGACGAAAAATTGCCACACACCGCTCCCGAGTAGGAAACTTTGCCCCCGATACTCCTCACTGGCTGACTGCTACTTCCTCCGTGCACACCCGGCACCACTATACTGGCCGTGTGGGTAGGCTGCAGTGGAGCTGGTGCTCTACTCCGTGGCCGTTTGCCTCCACTGACACTGCTGCGACCCTGCTGCCTCCTGGGCAACCCACCGACTGTTTTGCTCGCTGCCAAGCTGGCACCCTCTGATGCGGAAGAAATAGCCTGATGACGACGAGGCTGCCAAGTGCGATCAGCCTCATCATCATCAATTAGGGTCTCCGCCTCACTACTAGCCCCTCGGCTGCATGTGGGTCAGGAGACAGACCTGTCTCTAGACCGGCTTACCGAGCCACTTCCCTCGCCAGTACTTCTTCGCCTGGCTGCTGAAGAGGCGGATGTCTCCCCCGTTCCTGACCGCCCTCTGTTAGCTCTTCCTCACTGTACAGTGGGGCTGAGCCCACAGCATGCGATACTTCGCTTGGTGAGGGAACACCAAAGGACAGGGGCAGGTAGAGGACACGTGATTTCAGTGGGCTTGCTCCCGGGCCATGCCAACTAACGGTTGTGTCTGACGTACCCACCGACCGTTGGCTGTAGGTTGTCAGAGATGACCTGGGAAGAGGAAGATGACCGAGCCAACCAATCGATGACGGCAGGGTTGTCGGTGGAGACACGACCGCTGGATGACTGGCCTCTGGCTGCGACTAGTGCTGCCTCGACCCCTTCTTCTGCTGCCACGTCTGCTCGCTCCTAAAACATTGCCTCCTCTGACACTCCTCTGCGTGTTGTCTGACATACTCTTTAATTCAACGATTCTGTGTCCCTGAGTAACGATTCTGTGTCCCTGAGTAACAGTTCTGTGTCCCTGAGTAACAATTTCTGTGTCCCTGAGTAACAGTTCTGTGTCCCTGAGTAACAATTCTGTGTCCCTGAGTAACAATTCTGTGTCCCTGAGTAACAATTCTGTGTC